TCCTATCTCCAGTTATTCTGGGTCTCATTGTAAACTTTAGCTCCAGAACTATGCAAGGAGCTTTATGGGATGACCCTTTCTCACAGTAAATTATTAATCTTCAAAAATTATATGAGGGCCAACATTAAAAGTTTCCTGGTATTCTATCAAGTTCATCTCAAGTTCAACTTGATCTCAAAAAAAGGATGTAAATGCAAATATTTACAGGATATGAAGTATGATCTTTAAATTTTATGGGCATGTCTCTATTATGCTTCAAGATGCAGGTATTTAAGGCAACGCTGCAAATGCATTCCAGTAAAGATCAGAATCTGGCCGGGGGGAAGGTAGCGGTGGTTTAGCTCAGACAAATTGGTAATGGTACTTTCACTATCTGAAAATAACTATTAAAGGCAAATAGAACGTTGTGATGAGTTTTATAGTAAACCCTGTTATTTAATGCTAGAAAATAGTTAAGACTAAGTCCACTTTTTAGAGAAATCCTCAACTTCTTACTGACACTACATTTTTTTTCAGTAGTATTTTGCAGGATTGAAATAATCACTTTCAAACTAGAAAAGAGTTTATATCTACAAAAAAAATTTCCCTCATTTTCCATTGTTGCTTTCAATTACCCATCTTAGACTAATGCTACTGACATCATCAGCTGTTTTGTAGTTACACCTATAACCTTTGATCTGTAAGTAAGAAGTAACTTAAAATAGTTTATGATCAAAATGTTCAATCAATGCCTTTATGTTTTTCCTTCACTGAGGTCAGACAGTTTATAGCTCAAATCTTCTAGCCCATCACTAAAGATGTACATTCAGTGTTCAATGTCATAAAATCACAACATGTAAATGCAAGAGCTCCTTAAATTTAAATAAAATCACAACCAGAAAAGAATGGCTGTCTGTTGGTTTCACAGATGGGTAACTGATTTATCTTTTTTCCCATGAGTTTATTACTTCAACCCCCTTCAAGGCTTTTTTTTAAGTACTTATTTGTTGAACATCAGTCAAGGCAGAATCCTTTCTATACTACTGCAGCCTTTGCATGCCTCTAACAGAAAGCAAGCTCAGTTACAGTTTGCTGTTAATTTCAAAAACAGCTTTGTTGCTTTGCTGTGAAAATCCTAAATAGGGGCCTGTCCTTTTTGCTCCATGTTCCCTATCCCATGATCTATATTTCACCTGTATTAGGATTCTGAACTAAAAGCTTTTGTTTCATTACCTTGAAGAACACTGCATTAGGAATCAGGCATAAACAATCAGAGGAGTTAAAAATCACAAGGTCAAATAAATTCTCCCCCTCACCTCCCACTTCAGTGGGAGTTTGGGCAGGCCCTAGTGTATAAGGAATGGTACAGATTTAATACAAATGAAAGCAGTATTAGTTTAAGAAATTACTTCATATTCATGCTTATTGAGCACAACTTCATCACAGAGCCTGTTACCTATTTTGAAAGGACAATTAGTTCCCAATGCTATCAGATACCATTGTAAAGAGTAAGTTTAATGTTTTATCAGCCTTTTGAAAATATGCCTCTCATTACTGACTACACAAAAGAAGTACCAGCAGTACTGATCTAGAAAATCAAAATGTGTGTCAAACAAATGGAACTGCAGAAGGTGAAATTTCCATGCAATCTTCTATTACAGTAGGGATCCAATACAGGACAACAGCTACACAACCCTTGAAAGCAAATTCTACCAAAGGGACATGTGAGAAAGTCAACCTGTTACTAGCCATCTTTATTACATATTGGGTGGGGGACTTTTCTTGTTTTTTAAATGAAAAAAAAAAAACCCAACAAAAAACCAAAACCAAACCAAAACCCCCCCAAAACAAAACAAAAAAACCACCAACAAACGAAAATCAAAACCAAACCAAAAAACAGTAACACAGATTTCTAGACTGATATATGTTGAAAAGACTTCTGGAGGTCATTAGTCCAAGCCCCAGTAAAAGTTTTCTAGTATGCTGTTGTTTTTGGCTCTTTCAAGGATAGGGATACCAAAACTCTCTTTGGGCAGCCCATTCCCAGTGTTTGGTCACCCCCAAAGCCGCATTCCCTCCCCCATCCAACTGGAATTATTCTTACCACAACTACTTTTTCATCCCTTCTCCTGTCACTGAGCACTTCCAAAAAGTGCATGGATCAGTCTTCTCTATATTCTCCCTTCCCATTTGGTAGCTGAACTAATTAAATTTCCTTCTTAAGACTGAAACTCAATTCTCTGTCTCTCCTCATCCACAGTGTCATCTGGCTCCCCAGTCATTAGTCATTACTATGCCCTCCACTGGACTCCCTCTACTCTGTCACTACCTTTCTTTTACCGAGGAGCCCACTAGTCACGGGACAGTATGAACTCACACATGCTGCTCCAGTGTGGTCTCACAGCAGGAAAGATCACTTCCTTCAAAGTGCTGGCTACACTGCTAATGCAGCACAGTATGTCATCAGTTGCCTGTGTGACAAGGATGCAATGCTGACTCAATTGGGCACCCACCAGAACCCCAAGGTCCTCTTCTGTGGAGCTGCTTCCAGTTAGGTACCCCCAGCCTGTGTTGCTGGTTACCATGTCAGATAAAGGACTGCACTCTAGTATTAATTGGTAATTAATAAGGTATATCACTAGCACATGGCCATCTATCAAGTTTTGTATTGCTGATTATCATCCTTTGAGCTTTGTAGTCTATCCACCTAAGCATTCACTTACCCAGCTGACATCTCACCTTGGTAGCTGTAAGAATGCTACAGGAGACCATACCACAGACCCTGCCTATCTACAAGCCAGTCATGTCAGCACAGAAGGCAACTGGTTTGTATAACCTGCCTCTGGTAAAACAAGACTTACTGTTTCCAGTTCCCTTTTTGTCCTTCACATGCTGGGAAAGAGCTTCCAGAAGGATTCAGTCCCTAACAGGATCACTCTTCCAGACTCTCCATTTTTGAAAATGGCCCTGGTGTTTGCCTTTTGCAGTCACTGAGGAACCTCCCAGTGGTGATGACTTCTCAAAGAGGATAGAAACCAGTCTCACAATGACATCAGTCAGCATCCCTGGATGCACAAGTCTTCGTCCCACTGGCATGCAATTGCACAACTGGGTTAACTACTCCCCAGCTGTCATTGTCTACTGTGGACAATTCTTCACTTCCACAGGCTTTATCATTAGGCTCAGGGGCCCAGGAAGCAGGAAGACAAGTCTTACCAGGCAAAAAAAAGGCACTAAGTACCTCAGTCTTTTACTTGTCTTCTGTCACTAGTCCCTTGCCCATTAAGCAGTGGGTCCACATCTTCTTTAGTCTTCCAGTTGTTATCCCCACCCTTCTTGTTTTTTCCCACATCCCTCATGAGATTCATCCCACATCCCTTTGAGCTGAGCTTTGGCCTTCCTAACTCCATCACAGCACACTTGGGGAGCATCTTTAGATGGCTCTTCAGTAGCCAATATCTGCTTTCACCTTATGTGTATAAGGGTCCAGAGCTCCCTCTCAGGAGGCAGCTCTCAGATATCACACAGCTGTTGATCCAGATTGTTATGAAGAAAGAGTTGCTTATGAAAGACCTGTAAAAAGCCACCTCAGCAGAGGTTCCCCTCACATCACTCAAAGCTGCTTTTATGATGAAGCTTTTAAGCAGTTCCCAGCTTCAGCCAGACTGAAGTCATGCCTGTGCCTGGGCACACAGCCCAACTCATGCACACCCTGACTGACAGACTTTACACACTGGCTTGACCTCAGGCCTGCCTTGTCATTACTGACTTGCCTGGTGTCTGGTGTCACTGGACTGTTGGTTGAACCTGGTTACTGTTACCAGACATGTTCTGCTCTTCTTTTTCAGGCACTGTGGGACTGCTTTCACAGTGATGACACAGCTCCTGTGCCTGCCTTGTCCCATCTAGCCTTCCCTTACTTTCTTTCCTCTTGCTGCTCCCAGACACATCTGAGCTCAAGTCAGGCATTCTGCCATACTTGCTTAGTTTTCTGCATGTCAAAATGAGCCATTCTTGTGCTTTGAGAGGTTATTCTTGAAGATCAACCAGCTCTTGAGAGCTCCTTTGCAATTCAAACTAGTCTCCCTATTTAATCCTACCAAGCAGACCCTTGAACAAGACAAACATCTGTTATTATGTAGTACAGGGCCCTAATCCTACTATTCATTCTGCTCACTTCTTTGTGGACTTTGCTCTCCTGCCCCAGACCATGTCCACTGTCAGTTCTTCCTCATTTGCAAGTAAAAAGTCTACATGAGCACCTCCCCTGGAGAAAGTTTTTATACTCTCGGGAAACATATCTTTTTATTTGAAGTCAGTTTAGCAACCTTATAGTAATGGAAAATTTGGTTTTAGACAAATACAAAGCAATTCACACTCTTATATTTGTGCACAGACTCCTTTACCCAAAAGTAATACCACAGCTACTTCATTTTTCAACTCCATCTTTTGGCACACTGTTCACATTCAACAACTCGTTGCAAAAAGGACTTTTACTTACCTGTACAAATACTCATGTGCCATGTTCACTGCATAAACACACACAAAATAATTCTCTTTAGCAAGATACCAACATAGTCTCTGAATTGATATTTGCCTTCTGTTGAGTTTGTGTTCCCCATGGGGTTTCTGTTGCAATATGAGGGCAGGAGGAAGTGCTGGATCATGTATTCCCACCAATCTTTGGGTGTATCTCTAACAGCTGAGCAGAGCTGTACCAGTGTAAGTAATTTTATTATCATTCAACAAACATTACACCAAAGACAGTTACAGCTTACACTGAAGTTTCACATTTGCTCCTGCTAAATGCTGCATTCATGCTTATACACCAAGACTATTTCTTGGTTTCCACAGGACTTATGCACTGACCTCAAGTGTTCTAGGTATTAAGTACCAGAAGCACTGGTATTCAAATTCATCTGTTGGTATCCGTAGATGTAAAAAGTACATACTATACTGTTCTGAAATAAAGCAGCTATATTTAAAAGCATATTATCAGAAAAAGGACAACGCAGTCTCACCTTGAAATGATTTGCAGGGTGTATCAGTTGATGTGCTAGCATCTGTTGATGAAGTCTGAACATTACCCAAATTCTTTTCTTTGGATTTTGATCCCAGTTTTCCAAGAACTGCCTCCTCTCCTCTATTTGAAGTATGCACAGGAGAAGATGATGAAGTTTCACCATAGAGTCGTTTCAGTAATTTTGCCAAGAACACTGTAGGGTAAGAAAACTTTCTTAAGCATGAAAAAATGCAGTGTTTTAAAGATATTTTAAGACTTAAACCCCCCCCAACAATTAATCGATATATTTTCCCTCATATTCCATGCAATGGTCTTCACTAGTCCCTATCTCTCACAGGCACAACTGAAAATAATATATATAAATTCTAAACTCAACTCAGAAAAGCCAATTTAAAGCCCCAGAGTTCACTAGCAAGGTTACATTTGAAGTCTTCTGTTTGACTACATTTTGGCAATAAATTAATACAGTAGATTTACAGACTAACCACAAATTAATTTTTAATTTTTAAAACAAGTACCTTCCTATACAAGTGTTATAAGGCGGTTCAAATGAAGGTCTCTTCTGGCACAGAGGCACTGTAATTGAATTACTTATTAAAATCAGTAAGCTACAACTATTTAATTATATAGAAAAATTAGAAGTAGACAGCAGCAGAAACACATGGTAACCCAATTATTTCTACAGAACTAGCAGTATTCTTATATGCCTCTTCTTCTTATGGGCCTCTTTCTGACCACACTGACAATCTGCTACTAGTTACTCAAACACAAGCATCATTTGATTACAGAAATAGATGCAAATAATCCACCCATCAACAAAAACATCTTCTTACGGGTACCTGTATATTTCAATCACTTTAGAAGACATGTTATACTAAAATATAAAATAATACTAAGAAAGTTTTTATCTATTGCAAAAAAAATCCCTAGTTGCATGAATTCTACATGATCAAGAAGATATTGTGGGATGGGGGGTGAGAAAAGAGAGATTTGGAGAAAAACATCTTATCTAAACTCCAACTTTAAATTTAATATACATTTCTTGGACACTATACAAGCAACTTGGTGCAGATTCATAATAAATACTTCTGCCAAGAGAAAACGACTTATATTGTTGTAAGAACAGTTCCTACTGCAGCTTAGCTGAAACACATATTATCATCACGTAGCTCACGAATAAATTACTTCACAACTTAAAAAAAATCACCTTCATCCTTGAACATCAAGTCTTTGATAGACAAACTGTACCTCCACATGTGCCTTGGCAACTATGCTTCATCTGTCATGTAAATGCCTAACTATGGGTTAGAATGCTTTGTTATGGGTTAAGACTACTGTTCCTAGAAAGACAGACACAAACAAGTGACTCCACGTTTTCTTTTCATAAGGTTCCCTTGCCAGGCTACTCTACAGCTACAAAGACAAAAATCCACAGTTGCCCTCAACTAGAGAAATCAGACAGAAATAACAGTGCAATAAGACAAAGTAAACTGTTCTTTGCAGATCTCTGACTCTAAAGCAAGTTATCCAAGTGGTTTATCCTGGATCCTTTCCCCAAGTGCTGTTCACTAACACTACAGCATTTTACCAAACTCCAGTAGAGCCGTTACTAAATGCTGTGGTTTAACGCTGATAGGCAGCAAGTCCCCCTACAGCTGTTCACTCACAGAAAGACAGATTGGAGACCACTCATGGGTTGAGGTAAAGACAGTTTAACAGGTAAAGCAAAAGTCATACACACAAGCAACCCAAGGAATTCATTCACCAACTCCCATTTGCAGGCAGGTGTTCAGTCATCCCCAGGAAAGCAGGGCTCCACCACGAGCTAAGTTTGTTGGGAAGACAAACACCATCACTCTGAACATCCCTCCCTTCCTCTTTCTTCCCCCAGCTTTATATGCTGAGCATGATGTCATATGGTGCGGGACATCCCTAGGGTCAGTTGGGGTCAGCTGTCCCAGCTGTGTCCCCTCCCAATTCCTTGCACACTCCCAGCCTCCTCGCTGGTGTGGTGGGGTGAGGTGAGGAGCAGAAAAGGCCTTGACTCCATGTAAGCACTGTTCAGCAATAATGAAAACATCCCTGTGTTATCAACACTATTTTCACCACAAATACAGAAAACACAGCACCACAGGAGCTGTTATGAAGAAAATTAACTCTAGCACAGCCATAACTAGTACACAAATTAACATTCAAGCATTTGTACCAAGGAAGCTGTTCTTTCAAAGCAAATTATTATTGACATACTAATGAATCTATGGAAACACATTTTCTACAAGTCTGCTGAGAAGAGCCAGCCTCCTCATAGCTACAGTTGATTTTATGCTCCCCATCTTGAAATCTGATTTCTCTAGTCATCTGTTCAGTTATCCCCACTGTCTGCCCCCCCTCTCCAAATTACATCACTCTTTTTCCTTTCTTTTTTTAAAATAGGGGGACTTTACTCACACACACATTAGCATTGCTTCAGAAAGCAAGATGAGACCTGTCATGATACACTCGTTCCTTCTCATTGCCATGGGGAACTCTCCCCATCTTGAATACCTCTGCCTGAGAAAGGAAGCTGAAACAATGCCTGCCTTTGAAGGGTATGAATACCAAGGAGAGTATTCTTTCATAAAAATCTCTTTTTCTCAGAAAGAAATATCTAGATCAGTAACAGTGATGGATTTACTTCACCAGAGCAGTATCCATACGGTTGGAGTTTTCAGCAGACACTGGGAGAAGCAGCCAGGTGCAGAGAGAGTTCTTTACTGCCTGCAAAGTTTACACACCTGTGTCAGCGCAGCTCAGCACTGACACAAGTCATCTCTTAAGATAACCAGTAATTCCCAATAACCAGAAGAGAATGGAAGTGAGCAGTGGTGACTCCAAGGCATGACAAGGTCCTCCTTCGGAACCTGATGTATTTCAAGCCTTCTGAAGACAGCGGGAAGCAGTGTATCCCAGCAGTACCCCCTCCTCAGCAGAACACAGAATCATCAGAAAGTGCTGAAAAAACTGACTGATTTAGTTTGAACTATTTGGAATCCTAAGGATATTCCAGCCAGAATGAAAAATAAAAATATGCCTGCAGCCCAAAACTTCTTGAACAAACTGGTCCTGCGTATTAGTGAACAAGGAAATTAGGCTCTGAGGAATACCTATCCTTCCAGAGTCAGCAGCTCTACGTGCTCCAAAGCAGCACTTTGCTTTGCAGTTAAGAGTCTCAGAGCTAACAAAATATTTTTCAGATGACAGAGAAAGCTCTCCCCTCAGGGTTTTATTGCTGCAATTACTTAAAAAAGATATCATGTGATATCCATGAGCACTGCCTTAACAACAGGAGGTTGGTCTTGCTTGATGCTACAGAGCAGTTCTTCCCTATTCAAAAACTCTTCTTAACCTGATGTCTTTGGCACTATACAGTATCAGAGATCAGTCCACTTGGTAAGAATTTGACCCTTAAAAATAACTACCTCTTACCAGAAAATAAGCAATAAAGAAAATTCAAGCAAAAATATCTGCTACCAGATATCTGCTACATATTAGAGTTTCAAAATGGAGTAAGACTTGCTCTCACCATATGCATAGGAAAGCCAAGTTAATAACCATATGGTTATTTGTTGCTGTTGTTTTCCAGCCAGCATAACTGACGGAGGACTTGTAGAGGTTTACGTGGTCTTTCAATTCTGATTAAGCTTTAAATTTAATTTTAAAAGAAAAAAAAATCAATTTCCAGCTGAAAACATGCAACCCTATCAAAATACCGAGCCTGTAACTGAAAGCACTGAATATTCCTACTGTGCAATGAGCTGAAGCAAAATCAGAACACGTATCTTTACAGAAATTAGTCCGTGACAAAAAAAAGCCAGTATTTTCAGACATGAGAACAAGCTGCAATAGGTACCAAGCTAGTTCTATGGCTAATTCTTGACAACACATGTCTGAAAATAGTGAAGTACAAATACATCAGAAAACTGAAAAAGCACCAGGACTCTGCAGCTTGACATCACATAAATACAGCAAAGTGTAAGTTCAAGAAATACAGTGCAGAACACGTACTGGCTACTGATACAAACTGTGAACATCCATGATCTTTCTATTACAATTTTGCAAGAAGAGTAAAGAGACTCCTTCAAATAAATGCATTTTTGGCATCTCTGTATTAAACTGATGCCTTGATTTAATTCATATTATGTACATAAGCAGACTATCCACAAACACACACTGGATAGCACTGCAGATTTATGAATGTTCTCCTGAGGCTGACAACATGACTTAGCATGACTTACAACTCAGTTAAGACTAGAGACTGTACAAAAAAGCATGCTGAATAACTAAACAAATTAAATTCTGAACAACATCAGAAGAGTTCCTGTCCAGCTGAGCATAGGAGGCAACAGTTTCCTCAAAAACATTTCTATGAAGAATGCTCGCCACATACTTTTGGCTACTTGCCATACATACTGTAAGCACCCCTACCACGTTTCTCAGTTGGTTGCCTCCTGCCTACTCAAGTCGAAGTTGGGCAGCAAGAACAAAACAAATGGCATCAAGAGCACTGAACACATTAGAACTCTGTGAAGCTTCAAAGTTGTCCTACTTGGTGTCTCTCTCTCTCTGTCTCCTACAAACAGCTTTCCAAAAATGGAAGAATCAGGAATTTCTTCTGAAATCATCCCATGTAAGATGTGCTAATATGCTATTTTTGCTAAAGCAGAAGAAAAGATAGTGCAGCAGAACGGAAGAGGACAGAAAGAGGAGACAGAATGATAATCCACATGCAGAACATATGGACAAGGCTTCATTAAAATGTTCAGTTCATCCCTTGCGGAATTACTGTCCAATATTCAAATGGATTTAAATCCTTGAAGTCTCTTTTTATTATGCAAGTACCATATCTCCTATGAAGGTCACGACAGGACAGTTACTTTACAGCATGGTCATAAAAATCACAAAACTGTTAAGGTTGGAAGAGACCTCTGGTCATCATCTAGTCTGATCCTAATGCTCAGAGTAGGATCAACTAGAGCAGATTGTTTAGGGCCTTGCCTAGTTGGGCATAACAATCATAGAATCATAGAATCAGCTGGGTTGGAAGGGGCCTCTGAGATCATCAAGTCCAACCCTTGATCCACTATCACCGTGGTTACTAGACCATGGCACTAAGTGCCACATCCAGTCTCATCCTAAAAACCTCGAAGGATGGAG